CTGAGTGTTGTGCATCAATAACTTCATTGTTGTGCATTCAAACCCCGCCAAAAAATCATACAGTGAACATCCAATGTTTTACGATGCATTGAACTATGTGCTATAATGCACAACTCCCTAGCCTATAGTGCACAACTTACAACACTAGATTGCACAATCAGCACACACGAATGCACAATCGTACTACCCAGGCATTTATACATATACACGACAATCCAAATATAGACAATATTATACTCAAAAGAACAAGCTAAAAAAAATAAAAAATACTGATTAGTTTGCATGGGCGAACACTCAATAATTGATGAAGAAATCGCGGCTCCAAATTGCAACGGTGTTGATCCAAGAAAATAGGAAATTTATTTGGCCAAGGATTATACATGCGTTCACACTTAAAAAAAAATAGAAATAGACACTATTATCCCACTTTAACAAAAAAGATCAATCCATGTCATCTCAAGAACTCAAATCTGGACCATCCAAATAAAAAAACAAACACACAAGATTAGTCCTCACGTCCTCACCTAAGATTAGGTCCTCACCTTATCCGAATTCTATATATATATATATATATATATATATATATATATATATATATATATATATATAGTGTATATAATTTTGCATATAGTTACTGACTCAAAATAAATTTAATTTTTTCCCCAGTGATGGACATATCATACAGGATATATCTTATCTTATGAAAGTTGAGTTTTAAATCACAGCAACTTCCATGTAACTTCTCCAAACAGATATATTTTTCGTCTATAAATATTTTGGAGAAACATCTGAAAGGGATATGAGAAAACTTGCATTAAATTGAGATTTTCACTGTCTTACAGTTCTTCAGGAAATTCTCAAACAAACAAACTTGAGAATTTCATTCATCTTCTTGTAACCCATAAGATTAAATCTTGAACCTTGTTGCTTTTATAGAGGGAGATTTAAAGCTTATAGGAAAGTGATTACACGCCTGAAGATATCAAATGATCCAGTTTTTGTTCCTTGTTGTATTCTGTATTATTGTTGTATCTCAGATGTATTACAAATTACAAGCCCTTTCTCCAACAATTTATATAGTAATGGAGATAAATGTTTCAGATGAACTACCATGAAAGCTTAAAAATGATCCAGTTTTTGTTCCCTGTTGTATTCTGTATTATAGTTGTATCTCAAATGTATTACAGATTACAAGCCCTTTCTACAACAATTTATATAGTAATGGAGATTAATGTCTCAAATGAACTACCATGAAAGCTTAAATAATATTTGGAGTTGTTGTGTTATAAATATTATTTTAGTTTGGTAGAAAGTTAATTAAAATACTGGGAGAAATTTATATAACTATATGCTTGTTATATATAGTTATATGCTTATAATATATAGCTATATGCTTGAGGTTTATATAGCTATATGCTTGTGATATATAACTATATGCTTGAGATATATAGCTATATGCTTGAGATTTATATAGCTATATGCTTGAGATATATAGCTATATGCTTGTGATATATAGCTATATGCTTGTGATATGTAGCTATATGCTTGGGATTATTAAACTACATATATGGATATTATTTATATTTATTCTTTGCATGTTTTCATGCGTAAGGAATATATATATATATATATATATATATATATATATATATATATATATATATATATATATATATATATATATATATATATAGGGTCCGGATCAAGTGAGGACCTAATCTTAGGTGAGGACATGAGGACTAATCTAGACCATTAAATCAGAATGATGTATGATTGAGATTAAAAGAAACAAATCACAAGGATTAAGAAAACAAATCCCTTTAAAATATTAAAATATATAAATTTAGGGTAAATCAGTGTTATTAAAAGATGTGTGTTCCTATACAAAATGTTATGCATTCCTATACTGAGTGTTGTGCATCAATAACTTCATTGTTGTGCATTCAAACCCCGCCAAAAAATCATACAGTGAACATCCAATGTTTTACGATGCATTGAACTATGTGCTATAATGCACAACTCCCTAGCCTATAGTGCACAACTTACAACACTAGATTGCACAATCAGCACACACGAATGCACAATCATACTACCCAGGCATTTATACATATACACGACAATCCAAATATAGACAATATTATACTCAAAAGAACAAGCTAAAAAAAATAAAAAATACTGATTAGTTTGCATGGGCGAACACTCAATCAATGATGAAGAAATCGCGGCTCCAAATTGCAACGGTGATGATCCAAGAAAATAGGAAATTTATTTGGCCAAGGATTATACATGCGTTCACACTTAAAAAAAAATAGAAATAGACACTATTATCCCACTTTAACAAAAAAGATCAATCCATGTCATCTCAAGAACTCAAATCTGGACCATCCAAATAAAAAAACAAACACACAAGATTAGTCCTCACGTCCTCACCTAAGATTAGGTCCTCACCTTATCCGAATTATATATATATATATATATATATATATATATATATATATATATATATATATATATATATATAGTGTATATAATTTTGCATATAGTTACTGACTCAAAATAAATTTAATTTTTTCCCCAGTGATGGACTTATCATACAGGATATATCTTATCTTATGAAAGTTGAGTTTTAAATCACAGCAACTTCCATGTAACTTCTCCAAACAGATATATTTTTCGTCTATAAATATTTTGGAGAAACATCTGAAAGGGATATGCAAAAGTTCTTGTAACCCATTCATCTTCTTGTAACCCATAAGATTAAATCTTGAACCTTGTTGCTTTTATAGAGGGAGATTTAAAGCTTATAGGAAAGTGATTACACGCCTGAAGATATCAAATGATCCAGTTTTTCTTCCCTGTTGTATTCTGTATTATTGTTTTATCTCAAATGTATTACAAATTACAAGCCCTTTCTCCAACAATTTATATAGTAATGGAAATTAATGTTTCAGATGAACTACCATGAAAGCTTTAAAATGATCCAGTTTTTGTTCCCTGTTGTATTCTGTATTATTGTTGTATCTCAAATGTATTACAGATTACAAGCCCTTTCTACAACAATTTATATAGTAATGGAGATTAATGTTTTAAATGAACTACCATGAAAGCTTAAATAATATTTGGAGTTGTGGAGTTATAAATATTATTTTAGTTCAGTAGAAAGTTAATTAAAATACTGGGAGAAATTTATATAGCTATATGCTTGTGATATATAGCTATATGCTTATAATATATAGCTATATGCTTGAGGTTTATATAGCGACATGCTTGATATATATAGCTATATGCTTGTGATATATAGCTATATGGTTGAGATATATAGCTATATGCTTGAGATTTATATACCTATATGCTTGAGATATATAGCTATATGCTTGTGATATATAGCTATATGCTTGAGATATGTAATTATATGCTTGGGATTATTAAACTACATATATGGATATTATTTATATGTTTTCATGCGTAAGGAATATATATATATATATATATATATATATATATATATATATATATATATATATATATATATATATAATTTTGCATATAGTTACTGACTCAAAATAAATTTAATTTTTTCTCCAATGATGGATATATCATTCAGGATATATCTTATCTTATGAAAGTTGAGTTTTAAATCACAGCAACTTCCATGTAACTTCTCCAAACAGATATATTTTTCATCTATAAATATTTTGGAGAAACATCTAAAAGGGATATGCAAAAACTTGCATTAAACTGAGATTTTCACTGTCTTACAGTTCTTCAGGAAATTCTCAAACAAACATACTTGAGAATTTCATTCATCTTCTTGTATCCCATAAGATTAAATCTTGTACCTTGTTGCTTTTATATAGGGAGATTTAAAGCTTATAGGAAAGTGATTACACGCCTGAAGATATCAAATGATCCAATTTTTGTTCCTATTGTATTCTGTATTATTGTTGTATCTCAAATGTATTACAGATTACAAGCCCTTTCTTGAACATTGCTGATTTTATTGGGGTGAAAGTCAAGTCTTCTTTGACTCTTGATGTGCCAACTAGATGGAATTCAACATATTTGATGCTAAAAATGCACTCACATCGCAACAGTATTTCTGTAGAGCTGTGGAAACGAGTTGGCCCATCACGGGTTGGGGAAAAAATGGGTCGGTCTCAACCCGACCCGTTCTGATTCCGGGTTGGGATTTTTGGCACAACCCGGCTAAGCACGGGCTTGTGGGGTAAACAATCCAGCCCGTTTCTTATTAATTAAATAATTAATTATATTGTTTTAAAAATTTCTTATTATTCATATATTCTAAGACTTAAACCCTAAACCTAATAATGGAGAACTAAAGTCCTTACCAACTAAACACAATGAACTTGTCGAATAATTGTCATGTGTGGCTATATATATATATATATATATATATATATATATATATATATATGAATGACTTAAATAAATTGATAATAATACATGAATGCTTACAAAGTCTCGTTAGCATATATGGTTTCTTTTAGGTGATGTTTAGACGAGAGCGCGGTTTAGTGCCAGCTAGTGTAGCTCCTTCTTGTGTTTTGTGGCCTGTGAGCCCATTATAGACTTAGTACTTGAACATGTATGGTCTTAGATGTTGAATTATGCAGATGTTAGCCTGTGCGTTCGTCTCTGGATGAGCGTGGCATAGCACCCCTTTTTACTTCCAGTTTATATATTCCTCTTTCAGTCTTCCGTTGTGTCTAATGTTTTGTTTAAGATATCTGCATGTTTAAGGCTTTAAATAGCATGGTATTTAGGGGTTCTTACAGTTGGTATCAGAGCCTAGGTTTGATCCTAGGAGGGTTAAGTCTAGACTTCTAAGTGGCTAAGTATGGTTTGAGACCTTAAAATGACCCCAAGAATCTAAGTGTTAGGCTTAGGACTCTAGGTTGCGCGGTGAGCTGAGTGTTGCTTTCAGTTATTTGCTTGTTTGTTGTCTTTTGGTAACCGTGTTGTTGTTGTAGAAGTTTGCGATGTCTCCTCGTCGGCGTATCGTGTCGTTTGAAGAAGTGTGTTATGCCGCCAAGAGACCCAGAACAACAGGAGTTCGTGACGCCCCTAGTATAGTCGAGCAATGGATTCGAAGTGGCACGTCCACCCGAATAAGCCCCTGCGCAGCTACCTTGCCATCGTTCCGCGATCTAAGAAGAAGTGGTGGGTTGGGGGCTCAGAGTTTGTCAGAAGAGTTAACCCAAGAGAGGACCCTCATCCTAAGCGAGGCTCGGGCGGGGGACAGTGATGTAGTGATCGGAACGTTTTTGGTGCATGCCGTTCCAGCAGTAATCTTGTTCGATTCCGGGGCGTCCAACTCGTCTATATCCCCGGAACTCGTGAAGAAGTTGGGCCTAACCAAAGGTGTCGGGGTGAAGCTTAACGTCAAAGTGGCATCAGGAGAAGTTAAGGCTTGTGATCGTCTCTTCAAAGACGTTAGGATAGCCATCAGCAGAGAAGATTTTTCCAGTAATCTAATACAGTTCGGCCTGGACGGGATAAATGTGGTCCTGGGTATGGACTGGCTAGGACGGTTCAGAGCCCAGATCTTGTGTGGTGAACAGAAAGTGGTTTTGAGAGGACCAAGTGGAAAGAGGGTGTCGTACCGAGGGTCAACAGAAGAACCAGGGATCAAGTTAGTGTCCATGATGAAGATGAAAAAGTACGTGGAGAAGGGCCACGAGATCTTCTTGTGCTCAGTTGAAAACCTGGAGGGCAAAAGAGATGTAGCTCAGACCATACCTGATGTATGTGAATTCCTCGGTATCTTCCTCGAGGAGATTCCGGGAATGCCTCCTCTAAGAGAAGTTGAATTCTCATTGGATCTTATACCCGGTACAACGCTTATATCCAAAGCTCCCTATTGTTTAGCGCCCAAGGAGATGCAGGAGTTGAAGACTTAGTTACAAGAATTGTTAGACAAAGGCTACATCCGGCCGAGTACATCACCCTGGGGAGCGCCAGTGTTGTTTGTGAAGAAGAAAGATGGAAGCATGAGGTTGTGCATCGACTACCGCGAGTTGAATCAAGTCACAATCAAGAACAAGTATCCCCTGCCGCGGATAGACGACTTGTTTGATCAACTCCGAGGTGTCGGGGTGTTCTCCAAGATTGATTTGAGATCAGGTTACCACCAGTTGAAAGTGGCATATCAGGATATACCTTAGACGGCGTTCCGAACGCGCTACGGTCACTACGAGTTCACGGTAATGTCGTTCGGGTTAACTAACGTGCCAGCAGTGTTCATGGATCTAATGAATCGTGTATTCAAGCCTCATCTCGACGACTTCGTGATCGTGTTCATAGACGACATCCTTGTGTAATCTCGGGATAAAGAAGACCATGTGGGTTATCTTCGGACAGTACTGCAGATTCTGAGGGAAAAGGAGTTGTATGCCAAGCTTTCGAAATGTGAGTTTTGGAAAGATAGTGTAGCATTCTTGGGCCATGTGATAGACAGTAGAGGTATATCGGTGGATCCAGATAAGATTCGGGCGGTGAAAGAATGGATCGTGCCGAGAACTGTGGCGGAAGTAAGAAGCTTCTTGGGTTTAGCAGGTTATTATCGAAGGTTTGTGTTGGACTTCGCTAAGGTGGCTCAACCGTTGACAAAGCTGTTGAAGAAGGATATGCCCTTCCAATGGAATCAAGCTTGCGAATTAGCATTCCGGGAGTTGAAAGAGAGGCTCACGACTGCACCAGTGCTAATCCTACCATCCGGGACAGAGGGGTTCGAGGTATATAGTGATGCATCTAAGAATGGACTAGGGTGTGTGTTAATGCAAAATGAGAGAGTGATAGCTTACGCATCGCGACAGCTTAAAGTGCATGAAGAGAACTACCCCACGCATGATTTTGAGTTGGCAGCCATGGTTTTCGCTTTGAAGATTTGGAGGCATTATTTGTATGGCGTTCGTTGCAAGATCTTTACGGACCATAAGAGTCTCAAGTATATCTTCACTCAGAAGGATCTCAATATGCGCCAGAGACGGTGGTTGGAACTCATTAAAGACTATGAGTTGGATATACAATATCACGAAGGAAAGGCAAATGTTGTGGCGGACGCTCTGAGCAGGAAGATCAAACATGCTGTTAGTTCCATTTGGGTAGTGGTTGATGAGCTTTGCAAGGAATTTCAAAGGTTGAACCTAGAAGTGATGGAACAAGGTGAAGTTGAGTCGGAAACTCGTCTTTTCAACCTAAGGGTCATACCTACGCTTTTGGAGGAGATCAGAGCGGAACAATGGAAGGATGTTAACTTGATGAAGGCAAGAGAGGACCTAGAAAAGGGAAAGGGGGGACCGTTTGAGTTGTCCACGGAGGGAGAGCTGAGGTACGCAGGCCGTCTATGTGTACCTACATCTTGAGATCGGTTGAAGCGTCAGATTTTGGAAGAAGGCCATAATACACCCTATTCGGTACATCCTGGAGGCGAAAAATTGTATAAAGACGTGAAGAAGCTTTTCTGGTGGCCTAACATGAAGAAGGAGGTGGCGGAGTTTGTGGGCAGATGCTTGACTTGTCAAAAGGTGAAAGCGGAGCGTTGCAGGGTCAAAGGCTTGGTACAACCATTGGAGGTTCCACAAGGAAAATGGAACTCCATATCTATGGACTTCGTGGAGGCTTGCCGGCAACCCGTTCCGGTAAGGATAAAATCTGGGTAATAGTTGATCGCTTGACCAAGACCGCTCGCCTTATCGCGATGAAAGAAACATGGACAATGACGCAGTTGGCCCAAGCCTATGTTAGTCAGGTAGTGAAGTATCATGGAGTGCCAAAAGATATAGTCTCCGATCGGGATCTAAGGTTCTTGTCACAGTTTTGGAGGTCCTTGCATGCAGCTTTGGGGACCAAGCCGAATCTCAGTACCGCCTTCCATCCGGCTACAGACGGACAAACAGAGAGGACTATTCAGACTATCGAGGATATTTTGAGGGCATGCATGATGGATTTTCAAGGATCATGGGAAGATCACCTGGACTTAATAGAGTTCTCCTATAACAACAGTTATCACTTGAGTATACGCATGGCTCCTTATGAAGCTCTTTACGGTCAAAAGTGTCGCACCCCGTTGTGTTGGGAGGATAAGGTCAATCCAGTAGTTTTAGGACCACAGTTCTTGCTTGACACCGCAGAAAAGGTTAAACAGATTCAGAGCAAGATGAAAGCGGCACAAGATTGTCAAAAGTCCTACACCGACCGAGCAAGAAGGCAAGTAGAGTTCGCAGTGGGGGATAAAGTCTGGCTAAGAGTATCGCCCAGCCGGGGAGTGATGAGGTTTGGAAGGAAGGGCAAGCTAAGCCCCCGTTTCATAGGACCTTATGAGATACTTGAGACGGTTGGGAACCTAGTTTATCAGTTGGCTCTACCGATGGAGTTGGAGCGGGTCCATAATGTCTTCCACGTATCTCAGCTTAAGAAGTATGTCCACGACCTGACACATGTTCTTCCACCAGAAGTGATCCCTTTGGACGATGATATGTCTTATGAAGAAAGGCTGCTCAAAATCTTGGATTTTAAGACCCAGGATACGCGTAGGAAATCGGTGAAGATGGTGAAGGTTTGGTGGTCACATCACGGAGTAGAAAAAGCTACTTGGGAGTTGGAATCGACCATGAGGGAGCGTTACCCAGATTTGTTCTCGGCAGGTACCTTGTCCTATCGTTTGTTAGTTGTTTGTTGCTTGCCTTTTGTGTTTGTTCTTGCTTGTTTGTTTAGTTGAGTAGTTAGCTTTGTTAGTTGGTGCTTTGAAGTAGTCGTTAGTTCGTAGTTGTTGGCTAGAAGTTGGCAGTTGTGTTTGGTTTAGAGTTTGATATGCTCAATATATCTGTTGGTTAAATTCCTCCAATTCTTGTTTTAGTATACCTTCTTTCTTGCTTTGAATCCTTTTGGGTTTTGACCAAAAGAGATTGTTCTTGGCATTCTTGTCACATAGTTGTTTCATCTCACCGTTTGTCTTAATTTGTCGTACCCAAGCTTCGGGGACGAAGCTTCTTTGAAGGGGGAGAGGATGTGACACCCCGTAATCCAAATTCAATTAAGGGATTAATTAAGTAATTAATCCTAAACCAATTGGTAATTTAATTCCTAAAATTCCTAAAAATTCAATAGTCGAGGACTAGTAATTGACAAGTCAACCCCAAATTCAAGGTTGTACCTTAAGCTTTGTAAGGAGTTCCCTTGTTCCCTTACACCTCTTTATGTTAGTAAGGGTATTCATGACTTTTCACCTTGTGTTAGTAATGCAAGCTAACCTAGTAGACAATCATCATTTCTCTCCTTACACTTTCCAAACTTTAGCTCTACCTTCTCTCTAAAAAGGTAGATAGCTTTTCTTCCAAGACAAGTTGAAGCTTTGTCAAATCTTCAAGAGTTGTCTCCAAGATTCTACCTTTCATACATTTGGGCATCTAGGAGGGTAAGATCTAAGTTCATCTTGTGTTTTTAGTGTCTTCTAAGGTGTCTTTTCTTAAAGATAGAATCTTTATGATCTTTTTGGTGTGTTCTTGAAGTGGGTATGGAAGGTGAGCCTTATTAGAGCTTGGTGGGGTGTTAAGTGAAGGTTTTTGTCAACAAGAGGTAACCCATGCTCTACAAAATCTATTTTCCTTACCTATGATGATTTCTTGGATTCTACATGTGTTTTGCTATTAAATGTGAGTGTTTATGCATTGTCTTGTGAAAATGCATATCTAGAGCTTGTTATTAGGGTTTTTGTATGCCATTGCTTGGCTATCCCTCTGATTCAAGTCATTTTGTTGTATTTGGTGAGATTTGGCATGTTTTGGACTTGAATTTGAGCTTGGTGTTGAAAATTCCCTAAGGGATTATTTGGTGTACAGGTACGTACCCGCAGGCGGAATAGCGGGTAGGCGTCCACCCGCCGCCCACCCGCGGGGTACAAGTTGGACGTGGGTATGTACCCGCGGGCAGAACCAAGGGTAGGGGTCTACCCGTGGGCCTACCTGCGGGGTAAACTTTGGTGATTGGCGGAGATTTGTTCCCCGTGATTCTTTTGACTTGGTATTTGGCCTTTTGACTTCCCGATGTTCTTTTGTGGAACTATTTGAGTGTCTTCTTGATGTTTCGTATGTGGTAGGAATCCATGTAGGTTTTGGTGTCTTGAATCGTGCTAAGTGTTCAACATTGTGTTTCGTTGAACCGTGATGAGTCTTGTGTGTTCTTCGGAACTACGTTTGGTTTACCGTTTGATAAGCATGCTAGTTGGGTGTTTAAATGCTAGTGTGTGTGTTGTTTGTACCTTCCTATTGTTGATGATGACTTGTGTTAATCATCGTTGTTGTTGGACTGTGATCCATTCCTTGATCGAGTATGGTTTCATATCTTCGTTGTGATCCGTTGATTGATTCCTGTTGTGGTGTGATGTGTGTGTGGCTTTACCTGGATTGTACGATTAGTGGTATGGGACACTAGTCACCAAGGTTGTAACACCCCCTAAAACAGGCTCATTAAAACCTTAAAACATGCAGATAACACAACTAAACAACAAACACAGCGGAAGACTAAAAGATAACTGGATAAATAAAAATCCAAGTCATGGGGTGTTATGCCACATTCACCAACAAAGATGAACGCTACGGCAGAATCAGCATTGTTTACAGCTATCCAAAAGATCTCAACAGTCTACAACTAGTTAGGCACACAGGCCATAAACCAACGGGCGAGCTATGCTAACAGGCACTAGACTGCGCACTCGCCTAGACATCACCTGAAAGAACACAATAAACCATGGGACGATGCCCGATCAGCGAATAAAGCTGGGAACCCACCAATACATGTGAAATAACATACATAAGTAAGATATAAGTTGTAAAGCCATTTTCAAAACAGAATACATAAGTATATAAGTCAAAAACCAAGATCAATAGTCAACACAAGACTC